GTATGATACTCTTTGATTTGCGATGCTCTTATAAACCCAGACATGCACGAAATGACGCTTTTACTCATTTTGTAGCAAATTACGCCTTCGAATCTTCTGCTTGAGGGATATCTTTGGGTTTTTAAATTTTTTTTCAGTTCCTGGATAATTTTGAACCAAACCTGCCACCACCCTTGCGTCAAGGGCCTTTTAGGTCCAAACTGCATACTTTCCAACTAGGAAAAGTCATATATTCTGTTATTGCGAAGGCACCATATAGGGTTCATAAAATTTGGCGGTCGACATGAACCACATTGTATACTTTATAAGAGGCACCGATAAATGGACATATAAGATGCAGTCTAAAAAATGTCATAAATCAGAATGATCCGGGACTTATTTGTCAACCCACTCGCAGGATCGTTTTCCCATTGTTATCCTGATTCTATTTTTCGAACTTTATCACTCCTATTTTTCATCAATTCCGCTCCGGGCTGACGTCATCAATCGTCTGACGCCGACACAACATTCGGTAGTAATGTCGCACAACTGTGGATTGGGTCATGTTCTCTACCTCTCTGTGTTTCCCCGTTGACGGTTCTGCCCATGTCGGCATCTTTGATGTCTGCAAGTAGATAGGTTGGCGACGGCGCACGCGTGCCTTTGTCTTTTGTCCTGTCTCGGCTAGTCTGTCTTGGTTTATGTGTGTGTGCGCGCGCGCGCACAAAACCGGTCGACGCTTTCTCATGCGCACACAAACGCCCGCGCACGTGCACCTGGTGTCGACAGTCGCTCTGTGCGAGGGTGCGCCTAAGTGCGAATCATAGGACCCTATCCGTGAATTTTAACCCGTTCTGACGTCGTCTTGGTTTCGTGTCTGTGTAGTTGACGCAAAAAACCGACAGTGTATGTGTTCCTGCTAAAATATCTTCATGTAGAACGGTGGATGAAATGCAGGATGTGTCGGATTATTTGTTTTGTCAATTCGTGACATTGAAGTCCTGATCTGTTTTTATCTTTGGATTGCTTTTGATATTGAATTTTAGTTATGCGTTTTCCCACGAGTATTTGTCGAACCATTGTATGCTGTCTAACTATCTCTGTTCTTGGAGCTGTCAATGGCGACTTTAAAGTGTTGGCCATATTTTCTCTTTGCACCTCTTCGCATGCTGTTTATTCTGCGCTCTTATGCAACCTCCGCCTTGTTATTTTAGCCACCATGGTTGGATGCTCAAGTTCCCCATGCAAATGGCACCGACTACATGGTTGTTGACGATGTCACCCGACTGGGTGATGATGGCGATGTGGATGATGATGACGATAATGATGCCCCTTTTTGCGGTATTTTCACCCAGGTGCGTCGGCGCAACCGTTCCCGTTCTGTTGTATAGAGTTGTTGACCGACAACGGTGCTTAACATGTTTTTTTTAACGACCAACCACCGTGCCGCCATGTAGTGCACTGCTTCCGATCGTTTGTATGCCACGGACCCCTGGACCAAGTGACTGAATTTTTATCTCAGGTGTTCAGTAACTAACTGGTCCAGGTTCGAATCTCGGGTCCTCTATCGGAATTTTGAGTACGGCTATTTGATAACGACGAATTATTCTGAAATAGCCATTCCTTTGTGATATCGGCCAGTCATGCTTCCGTCTCGTGTATCGAAAATGTGCCAGACAGTAGTAGGTTATACTAACCTACCACAGACTCGCGTTTTCACTACTATTGATGTAATCTACTGACGCTTTAGCCAGCATGTTTGGGATATATCTAGACCCGTGGAGGGGACATGTACCCACCCTCTGAAGCAATAAGGTCAATGACTTTTCAGGTCGAATATTAGCAATACGCAGTTGGATTGCTTGGTTCGATTATTTTTAAACCATAGTTGCACTCTTAAGTTAGCCGCCAGCATCAGAGAGGTTGTTGTGCCGAAGTTGTTAGTCAGGACCCCCGGAAAATAAAGGATGCCTTTGCACATTTGATCAACGCCCTTTCTCTGATGAAGACCATGACGAATGCCTACCAGTGTTTGATTCCTGCAAAATTCATGTTTCTGGTGATGGTCATAGTGACCATGGTGGTGCTGTTAGTGCTGGTGGCATCGCTGTCGCTGCCACTGTTTTTTGACGGAAACCTGCTCCCCGGCGTTATCAGCTGTCGACACGTCCAGCCGACACTCGCAGAATACGGCCACTCGGTCCAAAACCGAATCACCCCGCGGTTTACCGGGCACAGGTTGCATGGACCGGCTTAATGGGAAGGTTGTTTCCTTCAGTTCCTGAGTTTTAAGGCGCATGTCTCCATCCATTCCTGCGACAGTAGTTTAAGTTTCCAGGTGTGAGCCTGACGACTGTGGATAAAGCCTTATTGAGTGACCGGCAACCTTTGCCAGTTAGTATCATTATCACTTCTGTTATTTTGACTGGTAACCAACCAACTTGCCTGATTAGTTCCCAGCCACCTACTTGTCCGCTATTGATTACGTGTCGGGCCTGAGAACCTGTTTGCTTTAATGCTGACCTTTGTTGGAGGTTGTCCTACTGCCTGCCGACCGCGGACGCGCCAGCGGCGATAATATTGAAGAATCTGGTGTTCTTGAGTGGTTATGGCAGAAGCAATGGTTGTCGGTTACACCGATGACAGTAACAGTATTAATGCAGATAGTAGTAGTAAGTGTAATGTCGTTAATTATTGTGCTTATTGCTAAACTTCGGTCTTTTTTCATCCCCACGTCAGGGCAACGGCGGCATGAACGAGGATGTAGAGAACATCCCCGATGGCGTGATGGGCGACTTTGAAGGCGGTGATGTGGATCAGGTGGAGTTGGTTAGTCAGCCGCGTCAAGTGGCGCGCCTAGAGATAGGATATGCACGCTCCGCCAAACTAATAAACATGCGGCATCTGAAGAATATTATGTGGAGCATGATTGACGCGGCCCTGCCCGACCCCGAGTCCTGTCCAGAAGGCACTCAACTCCCGCTAAAGGCCACAAAACTAGACCAATCCACGGCCGTTGACGGTACAGACGTAGTTACGGCCGCCCCTCCGCTCTGCGATTTTGGGCAACTTCTTACTACCCTCCCTGGAAAGGTGTCCAGGAACACAGCGGAGGAACTCAGCGTCGCTATCACTCTTAACTGCCTTCTCCATCTGGCTAATGAGAAGGTGTGCTTTCTGAATTGCATGCTCTTCATTAACTTGTATTTCCTGTTTTGCAAAGTTAGATGAGCACTTACTGTGCAGCAATTTGCTCGGTCATTGTTTCGGGGGCACTTGTTCGGACCAAACGAATTTGTGTCTGGCAATCTTGGCACACTTCGAAAGTTAGAAACGATGCGGGTTTCCCTTCTGCTGATAAAATCTGCCCTGTTTGGTCCGAGTGACCTGCATGCGGTTCCATACATCAGCCGAGATTATTTTGTCAAATAACATTGGGATTACGATGCCTTGACGCGCCTTTCTCATCATCCTAGGTTGTGTCTTAAAATAGAGGGAGGACACCGATTAAACAAAGGTTTAGTTTATTTGCGTTGTCCTGTTTGAATTCTACTGAGAGGGTCGTTAATTTTGCACCAGGCGTCTTATTTAGGATCTTCTTGAACCCCGGTCTCTACCAATGCTGCATGTGGCTGTTCTGTTTGTCTGCATTTCCATTGTTTCGCTTTCTTTTCACAGGATCTGATGTTTGAGCCTGTGGAAGACTTCACGAACCTGGCAATATATCGAGGCTTAACTGATTCTGAGCTGGAACTCCTCAAGGAGTACGATAGGGTAGTCCGATCCGAACGACGACGGGACAAGCAAATGTCCCTTGATGCCTGGTTGGAAGCAGATGATTAGAAAAATCACTCTCTTCGCCTTCCTTTGTCCCGCTTCCCTTGTATCTTCTCCCGCCTTTCTGCCTTACGCGCGCACACACACGCATCCCGGCTTTCATTCCCCACCGCTTTCCACACTGTATTATTTACTCACCATCTTCATTGTTTTGTTTTCTCCATAATAGGCCTATTTTTGTTAATTCCCCTTTATTAAGCCTCGATTTAAGGCATTTTTCTGTCGAATTTTGGCTCAACCCTCGTGTACAGGAGACCAAAATGCAGGCCCCAACTGAATTCAGCCTGAACTGAGATGTGTTCATACTGAGCTATGTACCTATTATCCCTGTATTGATTTTTATGCTCATGTGTGTGCATGTGTTTGTGTAATAATAAGGTGTATCAACAACAATAGGCAATTTCTATTTCATTCCTCCCACTCAAATCATTTCATTCGGGGACAGTTGGGTTCTGTTGCCTCGCAGTATTTGCTTTATTACTTTAGTGTGTACCGTTTCAATGGGGAACCGGTGTTGCTAAATTCGTTTTGTTTGAAGTCACGATTCGTGTTGACTGAAGGCTAGTGGATGTCTAGTCTTCCCACATAACGTGTAGTAAGGTGGACTTGGCCCTGGTTATAAGGCATTTGGTGGAATTATCGCTCAGTTTGCCAGGTGTATGCAGCGGGGATCAAACAGCTTAATGGGAATGGCTTCCAAAGAGCAACAATTGGTGTCAACCGATCCCTGAATCATATGTTCCCAGTGCAGCTAGCCAATGGCTAACCATAACTTCCAGTGCTAGCACCAAAGTGGACCTAACTCGGTTTCCTTTGGCGGGCCCCGCTGGATCACAATAACCCCCGCCTGACTTCTCTGATGCAATAGGCTCATCGCTTTGGTGGGTTTCTCTAGTTGGGTGACATCTCACTGCCTGTCGCCAGGGGGCGGCGCAGGAATTGTGCAGCTTATGACACAACGACTGCAGTTGTTGCCACAGAAACATTAGATCGTCGTTGGTGTACTGGAGCTTCTGTCACGATCGGTCAGCCTAACTTCTTAACAGGCCCGGATCTGCAAGCGACATGGACATGTTCATGGATTATTGTCATATATCGCTTTAATCCGCGATCGCAAGTCGGGTTCCAAATGGCGGTGCTGGCGCGAATAGAAACGTCCGTCCACTTCCCTCGGTCGGACTCGCATGTCCGCCTGTTCGTCGCCGCCGACGTTTGCATCCGACTGCGAGCAGCCCAGTTGGGTGTAAGATTGGTAGACGACTTTTCTGCACACTTTGGTGGTTTACTCACGCCTGAGAGGCTGCTTTGGCCCCTTCCAACCGTTGTGGCGTTAGCAGACGGCCGCCAAGGAGCATAAACCTGTTCTCCGCCGCCTGCGAGAACTTCGGTCTGGTCATCAACACACAGAAGACGGTGGTGGTGCACCAACCGCCACCCAACTCGGCCACAGCCCCCAACGCGCCGCCGCAAATCAGCGTGAATGGGACCCAACTGCAAGTGGTGGAGAACTTCCCATACCTGGGCAGTACTCTCTCCCGCAACACCAAGATCGACGACGAAGTCGCCAACAGGATCTCGAAAGCCAGTCAAGCCTTCGGTCGCCTTCAAAGCACAGTTTGGAATCGCCACGGTCTTCAGCTGAGCACGAAGCTGAAGATGTACAAGGCCGTCATCCTGCCGACACTACTGTATGGAGCGGAGACTTGGACGGTGTACGCAAAGCAGGCGCGTCGTCTGAACCACTTCCACCTCAGTTGTCTTCGTCGCATCCTGAGGCTAAAGTGGCAGGATCGAATCCCCGACACTGATGTGCTGGAACGGACGGGAATCCTCAGCATCTACGCCATACTGAGGCAAATGCAGCTGCGCTGGAGCGGCCACCTGGTGCGCATGGACGACAAGCGACTACCCAAACGACTCTTCTACGGAGACGTCGCGACGGGTTCTCGCCGTCAAGGAGGCCAGATTCGCCGTTACAAGGATACCCTGAAGTCCTCCCTGAAATGCCTGCAAATCAACCCCACCAACTGGGAGGAGCTCGCACTCGATCGACCGACCTGGAGGCGGACAGTGAAGACAGGCGCTGCGATCTACGAAGCCAACCGCATCGCTGCCGCCAAAGCGAAACGTGAAGCCCGCAAATCACAACTTCGCCCAGTAAGCAACGCCGCCGCACAACCGCTTCCAACGTGTCCTCGATGTCAACGGACATTCCGGGCTCGAATCGGACTTGTTGGACATCTTCGGGCTAACTGCGCCTCTCGAACAGCACCAACCATCGTCCCCCCGCCTGCCTCTTCCTCCTCCTCTCCGCCGCCAACTAACCCTGACAATTCTTCTGACCCACCACTTCCATCATCCTCCTCCTCATCCTCCTCCTCCTCCTCGCCCACTGCTCCAACGGCGGCCGCTCAGGCGACTGTCCCACGCACAGCAACCGACACTACCACCACCTCCCCCGACTCCAGGGATGAGGATCAGGACTACACCTGCCCTCACTGCGACCGTACCATCGGCCTGGTCGGTCACTTACGAATCCATCGCACAGAGACTGGCGAACCAGTGCGCGAAGCACCAACCTACACCCACCGCCCTCGCCTCCACTGCCCACACTGCCCTCGCACCTTCAGGCATCGCATGGGCCTTTTCGGCCACATGCGCATCCACGAGAGCGGCCTTGCCCGCACTCCCGACACACCCACCACATCCAACACATCCACCGTGCACGCCCCCACTCTCGTTCCATCCGTCCGCGACACCACCACCACCGCCTCCTCTGTAGTTGACACTGACACCGTAGACTTCTCATGCCCACACTGTCCACGCACATTCACCTCACGCATCGGCCTGGTCGATCACTTGCGAATCCATCGCACAGAGACTGGCGAACCAGTGCCTGGAGCACCCACCAAGCTCGTCTCAACTGCCCACACTGTCCTCGCACTTTCAGGCATCGCATGAGCCTATTCGGCCACATGCGCATCCACGACGACCTGCGGTAGACAACCGCCGGCCACACCACACATTCACTCACTCCCTACCTCCTCCACCACCACCATCACCCCACCAGAAATCAACACTCACACACCTCATGCACCAACTGCCACCTCCCACGCAAGTGGGAAGTCCGCATCTCGACTCGGTCCCCATGCGGCTTCGGCTGCACGGGTGCCTTGAGTCCGAGACTATCCCGACACGTCAAGCGTTGTGGATAGGAAGGTTGCTGATTGACGCCCGTTCTCGGTTCACGCAGTTCGTCACGTTGTGTGTGTGTGTGTGTGTGTGTGTGTGTGTGTTGTGTGGAGTGGCGGACTGGTGGGCTGGGGACGGGCTGAAACCGCACCTTCCACGGCACTCTCACGCAAGTGAGAGACACGCCGTTCAACCCCCGTTGTGTGAAATCCTGGTTTTGTGTGTATGGGGGGCCAGGTCGTGCCGTGGCGCGCGCAGTCATGGTCAGTCGACCATGACAGCCACCGCGCCCATTCCCCACTCCAGTCTGCTGACCGGCTCGGACAGCGGCTGGGGTGTGGGAGTGGCAAGGGAGAGTGAGGTCGACGACTCAGCGCCCTTTCTCCTCACTATAAACAATCTGACGCGCTTGAAGCTATCACGGTGCGCTAAAAGCCGTGGCTTGAAAGATTGCCAACTGACGGCGTAACTTGGACCTCCTCCTTGACCGGAGGCGGTCTGAGAGTCAGGCTGCAATGGCTCCTTTTTAATGTGGCCTTTATGGCACTCCCATCACAGTGTGGGATCCGAGCCAGGCGTTGGCGGCACGCCCAGGTGCGGCTTCGGTCGTGCCAGCCTCCAAATCTCTCTTGTGTTGGTTGAAATCCTGGTTATTTGTTGTGTGGGCCAGGGGGTGTAGTGGAACGCCAAGGTGAGGATCCGTCCGAGCCATCCACCTGCGGCCTCTCTCGTCTCCGGTCTTCTTGACACTGTCTTGACACCGGGCTCGGGCGAGGGAGGAGGAGAGAGTGTAGGTAGATGCTACGCAAGTCTGCCGGCACTATAAACCCCTGCGTAAGTCACCGTTCCTGCTCCCATTGCTGCTGCAACTGTGGGGCACACGGTGGACATCATCGAAACCGATGGTCGAACTGTCAGACGGCCGCCATGTTAAACGTTGGCTTGCCCGAAAACAGGTTCATCCTACACGAAGTGACCTTAAACGTATCTCTGGATGGAGGTACATACTCGCTCATTCTGGCTTTTACAGTTCCGGTCTGGGAGGCGGGTGGTCCGGCAGGTGGTTGGATAACGTCAAACCAATTTAGAGTCAGTTGCAGGCTCCCTTAATTTTAGACGACAAGAATCACGCACAAGTAGGTGACAAAGGTTAGTTTCCGGCAGTAAGTTCAGTCTGAGTACCTAGATTATACGGCTTAATCGCCTACCGTAAAACTGCTTGCACAGTACGTGATAACTTAGCGGCGACTAGGCAGAGTTGGTTCTTTATTGAGGACGCTAGGCGTCCGGCTCTCTTCGATGGTAGGGAATGGTGAGAAAGTCTTCATCTCCCCAGGTCAGTCCCATTTGGCCATACTGCCAAAACACGTGAGGACAGGATCTCTATCTCTTAGCCAGGTGGGACGACTTCCCTAATGCGGACACTTCTGTCACGGCATGTGTCGGAAGCCGTCACCACTGACCACCTTCAGAACGGCGATTAGACTGAAGACGCTTTTGAGGGGTCGTTCCTTAGGCAGCTAGTAGGTCTGGGAAAGACCTTCAAGTGCCGTGGGCCAATCTCAGAAGACATTTGTTATCGCCATTAGAAGCGAAGAGACGAGTCCCAGGAAGTAGTCTTGAAGTAGGAGACACGATCGCCGGGACAAGAGCTTTATTAGCCTGACGTTTCGGATTCCTACTCGAATCCATCATCAGAGACAAAAAAGCAGAAACGGGTGGTTGCTGCACAAGGGGCTGTGGTATTTATAGGATGCAGTAGCCATGCCACCGCATACCTATGAACATTCACGGCTCCCACCTTCATCCGGGATCGTCACACGTGGTGTGATCACTGCTTGATGGCCGACATTCGAGTCGATAATTGCTGCAATTTCATCACGTGCGTTGGATGTTGGCGTGATGATTGCTCGACCATCTTACGCACCGACCCCGGTGTTGGGAAAAGTGTTCACCTCTGCGCTCCCCGCATGGCTTGTTACTCCGCCTAGGCGAAATTTCAGCACGGAGTATGGAGTGGGAAGATCGTTGCACTTGTTGATGGACTGGGGGCCAGTAAACCATGATTCCAGTAGCTCCCGGCTCACGCGGTTGTCACCTCTTGCGAGAATTTCGGCCTCATCGAATTTGAATGTGTGGCCGGATCTCGTCGAATGAGCCGCAACTTGAGAACTGGCGTCATTTCTGCGCACCGCTGCCGCGTGTTCGGCCATTCTCGTTCGGAGCTGTCTTCCGGTTTCTCCGACGTAGTTGCTTTGTCCGCAACTGCACCAGATCCGATAAACGACTCCAGACGTTTCTAGCCGTGGCAGTGGGTCTTTCGGTTTCATGACCAGAGGCCTGATGGTTGCGTCCGGTCTGTGTGCCACTCCAATCCCAAGTGGTGCGAGAAGGCAGCTGACAGCTTCCGAAACGTTCTTGACATACGGAAGTGCCCGCCAAGATTTGGTGTCCGTGCGGTTTGGCCTTTCGTCTCTTTTGCGTATGCACCGGTCGACGAAGTTGCGCGGGCAGCCATTGGCTTTGAAGACCCGTCGGAGGTATTGCCGAAATACAATGTTCATAGGTATGCGATAGCATGGCTACTGCATCCTATAAATACCGCAGCCCCTTGTGCAGCAACCACCCGTTTCTGCTTTTTTGTCTCTGATGATGGATTCGAGTAGGAATCCGAAACGTCAGGCTAATAAAGCACTTGTCCCGGCGATCGTGTCTCCTTCTTCAACATTTATTATCATCTGCGCAGGCGATTGTTTCCCGTCTGATCCCTGGAGGGAATGCCAACCTATGCGCGTGAATGGGAAGGGCTTTATGGTGCACCCCTTGCAGCGCGCATGTCCATGTGGCATACGCGTTCCCTGCACCTCTTGGCTGTATGTTGCCTCCCTGAAAAATGAAGAGCAAATAATAAGATGGCAAAATGTAACTCATGCAGTTTCTTACAAGCTGAAGAAGGCGGTGACTTCCTGCGCAGGTTTCGAGAAAGTGCTAAGGTCGTAGCGAGAATCAATTCTAGCTGGAGTTCAGCCCATACTTGACGCTCCTACTGGATTCTACGAAGCCGAAAGCGGTTTAGTTTCGCACATTTGTTCGGGAGGGCCAAAATCATTAGTAACCAGACAATTGAACAGGGAAAACAAGTAATTAACAAAATTATTGGTCTGCAAATATTCCCTACTAGTTACATGAAGGTTGCAAATATGACGGGTTGAAGGGATTCATAAGTGCCTCGGGCGTTATTAACACTCATCGTTCCCGCACGACTAGGTCCGCGTATTGTGGTCATTGAGACCGAAGGAAAGGGAGTGAAGTAGGGAGTGAGCGACATTTTTAGGTAGAGTGTGCAGAGTGAATATCACTGTTGTCAGGTGGTTGAGGCGACATGCGGTAACCAGCTGGATTCGGCGTCGGCCACGGGAGACAGAGCGTCCGCACCAGCGTTTTCCGACAACACAGCACTGGATTCGCCATTTTCATGAGTAAACATCCTACATTCCCAGTGATTATGCAGTAATTGTAACAGGTATAATATAATATAGTAACGTACAAGGGCATGACACGCGATTGGGAGTGTCTTGTAATACAAGTGGACTTGGGCTGGATTCCAGGAAAAGTACATATTCCCGTGTCTTAACCTTAACACTAACCAAAAACTTGATCCAAACCCTATCCCTAACTTTAATCTCTCTGGAATTTAGCGCAGCGTCACCTGTATCAGAGGGTTCCCATTACCGTGTCGTACCGGTGTTAGAAAACACCGGACAGTTCGCTTTTTCCAGATTTCCTTCAACTTTTTATGGTGGTGGCATAGGTTCTGCTGGTGAGTGGAAGTGAAATACATTTTCCAATGATTTCATATTTACACGAATGGATGAACATTTTCGCCAACGTCTGGAGCTCTGTGAATTTTTAGTCCAAGAAAGGCACCTTTGTGCGAAGGTTTCCTAAAGTACTATTTATCTACAGCCTCCCTTTCCTGCTGCAGTTCTTGGGACCAAATGTTTCTGCGTCTCGTTCGAAACAGGTGCATAGATGCTCCAAGAATTTTTGCTGATTATATTACTGGTTGCGCCGATGTTGTGTTATTAACCAAGTCCTGGACGTCAACTCTGACACAGATGCTTGGAGAATTTCTAATTGGCTTATCTCAAAATCAACTCCCCTTTTGGCACCTGTTGGTTGAGACCAAAAGAGAGGGGAGGGGCGGTCGTGACGATCGAAGAAGAGATGCGTTCAGTAAAATATGTTCATTGAGTACCGATTTTTTAGCTTCCCCACGTTGCAGACAGGCGGATCCAGAGAAGAATCGCTTTGTAAGGCCTTTGGCGTGGACGCGTAACTTTGCGCGCTTTGTAAATCGCCAATTCAGCCTGAGGATCGTCTGTTTCCGCAAATATCCGTCAGTGACGACCAATGACCGAGTATCTGAGTTCTTATCACGCGGGACTCCGTGGTCGCGTAGGTTGGAGGGAGTCTCCTACAAACCTGACGCAATACATCGCCCTCGGATGCCGCACCCAAGGAGACCCTGTTGCCCACTGGGAGGAATGCAATTACGTTGGTGGGATCGGTCAACAACTGCAGATGCGTCCAAACCATAGGATTTATAATGAGCCTCTAATCTGAAGCCAGCAGTCTTTCATGATGGAGGCTTAAAATTGCTTCTTGGAGCGCTGGAAATCCAAGAAGCATATCCTAATGGGCGCAACTTCTTCGTCTGTTGGCTAACTGGGAGTTTAGTGTTCACTCTAATAAGCTATTTTTCAGCT